TGATCAACTAAAAATACAACATTTCAGTCTCTTGGATTGTTTTGCAATTTTGCTGCGTTTCCGTGGAAAAAAATAAATACCAATTCATTGTATAAACCTGTGCAAAACATTGCTTCACAAACAGGGGTGGAATTAAATGTAATATCCATGTCCATAGACGTAGAACAAGAATTAAGATTCATTTTCTTCAAATATTTTATAATACATGTTTGACACACTTTGTATTATCGAAAACTACGCCTTCCTGTAGAGTGTGTCAAACATGTATCAAGGAATATTTGAAGAAAATGAATCTTCATACTAATTCTCTATCTATGGACAATGATGCTGCATTTATTTTCACCTCAGTTTTTGAAGGAATTATTTGGAATTTTTGTAATAAATTGGTAATTATTTTTTTCCATGGAAATGAAGCAAATTATCAAAATAATTCAGGAGACCAAAATGTTGTATTTTTAGTTGGTCAATAGGTTATGAAGATACAGAATTCAAAAAAATCAGTGGCGCACATTTTATTTACAATAATATTCGGTAGGTTGCCCCCCGTGACGCCACTGGATCTTATAATTCCAATAGAATTATGGCTATATCAGCCCCTCATGACAAAGAATATCATTGCTAAATTACAAGAAAATTGGTAGGAGGACATTTGAGATATTCATAAAACACCGATTTTATTTAAAATTTTTAACACACTGTATCTTGAAAACTATGCATTTCCGGATCCACGTACATATAAAAAGAATTTCTTATTTCATCATTTAGAATCACCCCCTTGATTTTTTGCGCATAATTTCCGGACACCGGAATTGGAGTTTCAAAAAGAAGCTGATGATTTGGTTATAAAACAGGAAAATATACCATCATTTACTATTTCACGCTTAGCTTCTCAACGCCCTGTGGTGAAAGTGGGTCATTGAACTCATCATGTATTGGGTTGAAGTGTGATCCCTAATTAATACAATGGTTTTCGATTCACGTCAATATCTTTTCTTACAGGGAAGATTCAAGTGTTTTAAGGAGGTATGGATTCTTTAAATCCAAAGAACATACATAAACTTATCGATTAACACCTAGAAAACACATCTATGAGTTAACATCAATTGTTTCCTCCTCGTTTTTGAGCACTTTGTTTTATTCAAGATATCATCAGACTTACGATCCATTTCATCAGACTAACGAACACCAAACATTTTCAGTGCTCTGGAAAGAGTTTTGGAGTCTGCGAAATCCTCATCCCGGTTTTCATTACACAAGTCAGTCACTAGAAACCACCACATCTTTTTTCTCCATCTGTCCACTCCACTAAAGGCGGATTCATGCAACATTCATTATAATTACATTTTCACTACATTATAATTACATTTCCACTAGTTGCGAGGTACCCGTTCATGCAACGTATGCTCATAATGAACTAATTATTCGGGGTTATGTGATCTGGTTTGATTTTTCAAATTTGTACAGGTTATTAAAGGATATTGATTTATTTTGAATATAATATCTGAGGCAAATCACAAATATTTCAGTGGAAAGAATGATCATTCAATGATTTAATCTTGCAAATCAGTCGTTTTCACTAGAACTATAATGTAATTATAATGAATAGTCAAAAGTTAGTGCATTAATGTGATGATAATGTGATGAAAATGTGTTAAGGTGTTGCATGAACGCATTTTATGAAATAGGAGTTTTCAACATTATTGATTTATAATATAATGAAAATGTTATTATATTGACTGTTGCATGAATCGGCCTTATGAGAATTTGATAATTTACTCAAGAGCCGACGTTACTATTGTTCACTTAATAAAATAACTAAGAATTTGCTTGTTGGAATCTACAAATTTCACAATTGAGCGGATATGCATTTTTTCGCTAAGAAATAATCGGGCTAGATTTTGATTGTAAGGTTGTCACATATTATTTGCGTTGGGTGAAACTACCAGTAACAGGCAAGATTTCATGATATTGAGTAGTAGGTACCCTATTTCATAGTCGCCAGTTTGTGTCGAACTTTTCATACCATTTCTTCAAAAGAATGCTATTTTATACAGGCATAATTCATATTCGCCAATTTGCTTCGAAATAGTTCACTCATTTCAGATATAAGCCTGGATTAAAGAACAACATAACATCTAAATCATAGATCTAAATACATTTGATCTATGTCTAAACTATCAGGAATTGAAATACGCCAATTTGAGAGCAGATGAATCAACTCTAGAGCAATTTGTTACACCAAGAACACAATTGAGAGCAAATGAATCAACTCTAGAGCCATTTGTTACACCAAAAACACAATTTTCTCGTTTTTCCGATATACGCCCCTTTGTAAATTCCCCGACGCTTTGATCAGCCTTTTATTTAGCAAATCTGAATTTCACTATTTCCATAATTCGAGAAGATAGGAAATGATTGAGAATTCAGCCCTGGATTTAATGTTTCAATTGGATTAAAAAGAAGTGAGGATTAATGTTAGGGCGACGTAGTAGTTGAAAAAAGGGGAGTGATAATAAACGGTAGGTCATTTGAAACAAATGCTCTCCCTTTGGCAAAGGGTTCGGCATAATTTGCATAGCTTTCGATGCGCTTTTTATCGAACAAAACTTCCGTAGCTGTTCATTAACTTGTTACATAATATTAACTTGTAAACATATGTCACAAATTATTTAAATTTCATGTGCATCCATCCTCAATGAATCGATAATAAAATCGTCCCCATGGTAGTCTTCATTCAAAACTGAATCCGATGTGTCCCTACGAAACCTATTAGATTTCGAGTTTCGGATTAGAATATTGAGATTGCTCGTATAGTTTTTACATACAGTATGATGCAAATGTATGGAATAAATTCATTATTTCAGAAATGGGCGACATTTGAAGAAATTCCAGAAACACGTGAGTTTTAATTTTTGAAACCTCATCTCATGACATTCATATGAGAGATGTTACGTCACCGGTGTTGGAGTAATGACGTAATGGACGGTTTTTTTAAATACAAACAGGGGTCATGTGACACCTCGTTTGAAAGGTCTACTGATCGTCTATCCAATAGTCAAAATTTTGCAAAAGAAGATTGAACTTAAAATGGATTATCATTTGGTTAACTGAATCTTGCAGAGATCTTCTACTGAGAATTGAACATCGAAGGGTCGTCTAGTTGAAAAAATACATCGATAAAAAAGTTCTGAACTCTACTTTATGGATTTTTTCCGGAAGTCGTGTCCCTAGACCAGTGGGAAAGTTGAATATCTCCTGAACCAATAGGAATTCTCAAAATATTTGATTCCACATTAAATCGCATCATAAGTGCTAACTTCAGGAATGAATAAATTTTATACGAGGGGCGCAAGAAAGGTTCACATATATTTCAACATATCTGAATTCTCATTCCTTTACGCTAATTATCAATTTTTCATTTTCGAAAATCCGGCAAGGCGTTGCCAAGTTATACCAGTATTTCATGAAATGCAGACATTTTTTTTTTATAGACAAACCCATTATTCATACTACTAAGAATTTATGGAATCATTCAAGACTGTTGGTAGTCGGTGGCAAATTCTATCATATGAAATACTCATCTTCTTCGAAAGTTATACAGGGTGGTCAGAAATATTATATGATTTTCACGAAATTCAAACTTTCTTCACATTAATTTTTCAAATAGTGCACCCTACAATATGTATGATTTTATATCCCATTGGTGGTTTGATTGCTTATGGTCAATAGTTGTGAAATAGAGATAAAATCAAATTGAACAAATTATGATGAGAGACATCGGCAACTTTGTTAAAACAAATAATGTTCACCAACATGTGAGTCAATCTTTGGTTACAGCATTCTGCATATTCACATGCCTTTACTTGTAGTATTTTCTAGAATACGGCTGAAGATGGACTTTTATAAGTTCGAAACATGTCCCGTTGATCAACTACATCAATATTAAAGTTGTGGAGATGACTTTGAGCTTTCCTTCCTCCTTTTAAATTGAACAAGCCCAAACACTCCTATTACAAAAAATCTCCAATCAATGCAGGTTGCCGTTTTTTCAATTGTTTGCCGAATGAAATAAAAAACTCGGGATCCCCGGCTGTTTTCAAGCGTGGACTTCAGGAACTTCTAATCAGAGAATGCTTTCATGCTGTTGAGGAATTCGAATCCCACTTTTCAATTTAAAAATAATATCGAAGTATTTATCAATTTATGTTAATCACTGTAATTGTTTCATAGTGTCTCATTTCGTTTCGTCTTATTTGTCAATTTCTTAATTACACTGTTTTTTTTATGACATGTATGTGACATGTGACGTATCCTATCTATTGTTACCGATAGTTGAAAGGATCAATGAATATTTCATTTATTTATTTCTTTATTTTGTGATGGATGTTCTCACTTCAAACATACAACTGCTTTATAACGATATGAACTTGAAAACGGAAAACACGCTATGAAAGTATGACATTCCGAAATCAAGACATAATGGTTATGCATTACTCATCATATCAATATATTCACCCTCTGCATTTCTTGATGCTTTTGAGACTGATTATAAACATGCATAAAAGTTATATTCATCATGATAGGGATTTATTCAGATGTGACATATACATCTAAGGGTGCGTATTTAGCCCCTGTCAACAAAACTGCAGGTAAAATCACCATAGATTCCTTTTGTGCAATCACTCCCTGTCTGTTACTGTGTCTCTCTAAGTACTGACACTTCTACAATATTGAAAAGAGCTTTTTTTAAAGGCCCTTACAATGGTCCCTCTAAATTGTGTGAGCAATTTAATCTGAAAACTAGCATACCTTTGAGGGATGATTGTATCTGGAACTGATATGTTTGAATGTTCAATGGGGCACTACTTTACATCTGATCTCACCCGACAAAAGCAAATTCGCTATTATGCTTCCAGAATACAAACAGAAATTGACACTGGCACGAAATCAGGAACTTTTCGAGATTTCACGAGGATATTGACAGTTGTTTTCTTTTTCAGGGGCGAAAGAAGAATGACTTAACGCTCTGGAGATGCAATAGGAAGGATATATGATAGAAGTGACTATTAGGTGTGATAAATCGTACTACGGAAGGGATTATTTTATTCTACAATATAAGCAAACGTATTCAACATATTTAGAGCTGAAAACCAAATAAAAATCGTTGAGAGTTTTCGTAGAGAAAGGCTGTAGGAAGAATATTGAGACTTGTCGATTCAAATTTTTTGTTTCTATTAATTATTTGATTTACTATCTCTTAACATTTAATTGGAACAATACATGTGGTTCAAGATCCAGAATTCTGATCACCCTGTGTACCTGTTCCGAATATCAAATGTCAGTTGATAATATTAAGATAATAAGATAATAATGAATCAAAAGTTAGGATAGGGACATGAAAGCCATTTCGACCAATAATGAAATGGTTCGACACAAAAAATTTTCGAAATATTTCATCAGGGTCGTTCCATTATAACGTCCATTGATCATCAACTTCTGCTTTTCGAATATTCTTTATTTATATACATATTCTTTAATTTGCAATTGATGAATGCCAGGTTTCCCACCAAATTTTCAACAAATCTCAATATACTAGAGAAATACCTACTCTTTCATTCAAGTTTCATTCGATGAGAGTGGCAACAGGAAAATTAATTGTATGTTCGTACATGTCAAATTATCCTTTTTGTCATAATCATTGAGGATAATGAAATAGTATTTCGTCCGATTTCGACAAAACATTTTTAAATTTTCTTTGGCAATGAGTAGATATGATAATGGTGATTTTTTTCTGACACTGATCAAACTGGAAATTTTTACATCAGTAGTTGGTTCCAGGAAATAAATCGAGCTATTAAAATTATGAAGGCTGTATTGTTGTAATTGATATATCGACTACCCCTTTAGGAAATAAAAACTTTGTCTCAGTGGAATACAATGCAGTTTCATTTTACCCTTTTTCCCGAATCGGTGAAATTATCGACATGTGTTGTGTTGCCCTGAATTATGACTTTATAGATAATTCCGACCATGCCCTTCTGATTTGCTAGCAAACGGACAACACGTGTGTCTAGTTTATTTTTGTTACAGTTTGAACATAATGGAATTGGATTCATGATTTGAGTATTTATATTCACAATGAGCATGTACAATATTGTGCATGTGGATGAAAAATAATGCTGAAGAATATTATACAGACTCATATGTGCGACGCGAAATCACTATACATTATTAATACTTTATACTGGCTTCATATAAAATATGAGAGCACTATAGAAGATCAGCAAGAGAACAGGTGAAAAGAGCCAATAGCGTGAAGACTGAAGAGTAAAGTATGTAGAGAGGAGAGTATTGAGCGTATATATGGTAACGTGTAGACTGTAGAGCATAGAGAGCGATCCCTTAGCTGTCATCATTATTTATACTCCCCATCAACCTCGGTACAAATGCATCTCAATCCTAGATTCTTATTGGTTGGAGTCCTCAACTATGCCTGCAGGAACTCGAAAGCACATGTTCCTAAACTCACAAAAATGCGGAAAAATTATATTTTACCCTCAATGGGCACAGGGACAGAATCTACTACCCTTGCTAATGCTACTGAATGAATTTCACTGGAAAATTTGACAAACAAGTTATGACCATGTAAACATCCTTCATTTTAACAGATAAATAATTCATTCAAATTTCATATCATAAGCAGAGAGTTGATAAACATTGAAGTCTTTAGGGTTGTAATGATGTTTATCGGAGTTTACTATCAGGAAAAGCTTTGGAAAGGCAGGAATCAATAAATAACTCAGCTGTCTCAGGTTTTTGGATTCCGAGCTTCCGAACATGTGAAATTCAACTAAAATCAGTCTCAGGTACTTAGATATTAATCGAAACTAAACTAGTAATGAAGCTGGTTCAGAAACACTGCATCACATGGATATACTCTCGGATATACTACGTGATCTGTCACTGTTACAATTATTATTGGATGACGACATACATTGGACTCCGAATCAAAACACAAAAGGGGTTGTTTTAACAGCGATTTGCATAATATCAAAGCCCTTCTGATAGCTTAATATTCAAATATGACTAAAGGCTTATGATTAACTGTATGCTACTGATATGCTCAATTTGAATTTATGCTTTTCACTCTGCACCTGCTCCGATTGATTTATATCTCGCTTTGTTCAATATTTTTTAATAAAACCATATCGAATAGATTGCGGTGGTATTATAGAGAACAAAGCATTATACAGGGTATTCCGAAATTCAATACCAAGATTTCGGGATTTTATTTTTCCTGTAAAAATTATAATTTTTTTCTTTGAATATAATCGCTGTCCTAATTCAATAGTGGGCTATCTTGAATAGGTATTATTTCCAGAAATCATTCATCGAAGTTTGGTTTCTGCACTGATAATTTCATTTCATAACCAAAATAATCAATGTTTTTTTCCTGATTAACTCGATAATCTTACAGTTAGACATTATTGTCGTTGTGGTTGCACATGTTTCGAATAGGTCTTCAAAGATTCGCTATTAAATCTCTATGGAACATTCCTAAAAAATATCAACAATTGTGGAAATCGAGACAAGTGTGGTTTACTCATTTATGAAGAAGTAAAATCTCTGACTGATAAAATCGAGTCATTGGGAAAACAGTTGAGGATTCTCCTGGGAATTCCCAATATACTATAGATATTTTGGAGGAAATGAAGTGATATGAGACAGCGTGAAAATAATGTACTGATATATACAGAGTGTTCCGGAACTATTGTGCCAAAATTTGTGGGTTGCTTGATCTCGCCAAAACAAACGTTTTTTACTTATTAATCCATGGGCGCATGCGCATGCGTTCAGTGATAATTAAGGTCAGCGCAGTGGTGTCCAACCTCGGACACGGGGAAACGTGTTTGTACCGGAAACCGTGTAAGTAAATGAAATCACAGCAATATTTGGGAGAGTTTATTGAAAAAACATTACAATTTACATTGAGTTAGGAGTCCGGACAGCGACGATTGGTCAAAATCGGTAGAGCTGAGCACAATATCGATATTATTTGTGTATGTACAGGGTGGCCAGATGAGAATGCAAAGTGCTGTATTTCGGAAGCTATATTCGTCTTAGAGACTTGCGGTGAAAAATATGACGACTAATTAAAGTGGGCAGAAGGAAATCCTGGAAATTGTGTTCAGATTTCCAAGATGGCCGCCAGGGGGCTTAATTGTCATCTGAACTGTTTCAAAGTGAGTTTTCATTGAAATTCACCTAGTGAATGTTTCAAAAAAATATATGTTTCTGAGAGATGAGCTTCATTAGAGTAATTTTTGTTCAACACTTGACGTATTTATTAAAATGAAGTGGTGGGGGGTATTTCAATGTTTTTTCAAATAAACAGCTGTAACTCCAAAAATGACTTGGTCTCGTTGGAACAAGCATTGATTGCTTCATCAAAACCATTTTACCTGTGATATGTCTAATTCTTAGTGATGCCGCTAGAGGGAATTTTTTGATATGATAATAGAAAACTGCAAAATTCTCTATAAAATTAAATGCAATAATATGACTTTTTTTCCATGAAAATCTAGCGAAACGGTACCCAAATAGGCTAGTGAAAACCGTATATCGATATTTTATTCCTAGCCTAAAATATCAAAGAAAGAAAATTTAGTTACTCATGAAATTTCGAAAAGACGCTATCACACCAATCTATTCTTAATTATTTGCCTTTTTTTCAAGAATGAATGGTAACATTTTATGATTTTATAATTCTCGAATGATAAAAGTATTCTTAGTTAAAAAAATCTGAAAAAAAAATGGGTGGAGGCATAGTAAGCAATGCATATATTATGCAAGTCCAAGGTGTTCTGTTTTTGATAGGTAGTTGGAATAAAACATGCCATTGCTGGAACAAAACTGAAATTTTATTCTTGCTATCCATTTGCGGTGCCTCCGCGACGGAATAAGAAATTGATACAAAAACTAAGAAATAAATGAGCATAAAGCTATCCATACACCACAATGATCATATAGCTATCCCTACACTACTATGATCATGACATCTCCCGTTTTCAAAATGTAATGTATCTAGATAGACAATAATAACAATATCATTTATGAATAATAATAAAAAGAAATATAATTATGACCAGTGACTTGCATATCTTTTAATTATTGCATTATTATACAATAGACAATTATTTCACCAACTTTCACATTGATATCGATCAGGTTGTTTCACAGTCCTTCCTGATCTACTCACATAATTATTTTCCCGAGTGTTCTCCTCTGTTTCATTTATTTCAGTTTCGATGAAATTTCTTTGATAAGATGGTAATTTCTGGATTGCACTCGGATCAACTTTTATGTGACTTCTATTTCTATTTATTTCATGGCCTGTTTCATACATTTTTATTTTGTAACTTCTAGGAGAATCATTTTTTGCTATTATCTTACCCCTGAGTTTAAAGCAATCTTTATTCTTTACCAATACATCCGTGTTGACAGGTATCTCAGGTAAAGATTTCGTATTTTTATCAAAGTAGAATTTTTGGGTTGATTGTTTTTCACTCAGGTTTCTAATATGGGTTCTGTTACTAATGATTTTTGGTTTTAACATTTCTTCAGTTACAGGAAGAATACTTTTCAATTGTCTATTCATGAGAAGTTGTGCTGGACAATATAAATTGTTATCTAAAGGAGTATTTCTCAGTTCGATGAGTGCTATATAAGGGTCCGTCCTGTCATGAATACATTTTTTGAAAATTGTTTTTATAGTACCAACCATCCTTTCAACATGTCCGTTCGATTGGGGAAAATGTGGACTACTAGTAATGTGTTTGAACTCCCATTCAGAAGCAAAATCTTTGAAATCTTTTGAGTTGAAAGGAGGTCCATTATCAGTTAGTAAAATATCAGGTATACCAAATCTAGCAAAAACTTGTTTGAATTTTGGAATTACACTTTTCGAGTCTGATTTTTTCAATGTGATCACTTCTGGATATTTTGAATAGAAATCAACTATGACAAGATACATTTGTCCGTTCAATTCAAAAAAATCTGCAGATACATTCTGCCACGCCCTATTCGGTAAATTCCTCATAATCATTGGTTCTTTTTGAGGAGACTTCGAATACATGGTACAAGATGTACAATTTGCTATCAGTTTATCAATTTCAGAAGACATTCCCGGCCAATGAAATATAGTACGCGCACGATTTTTAGTTTTTTGTCTACCTAGATGACTTTTGTGAAGTTTCAATAAAAAATAATTTCTGAGTTTTTTTGGAATAACCAACTTGTTATTCTTGTATAGTAAACCGTTTGCATAAGAAAGTTCATCCTTGTAAGAATGAAAAGTCTTCATTTCAGGTTCAAATTTTTCCACGCGCCTTGGCCATCCATTTTTTAAATATTCAATCAATTCATTCATCATGGGATCTTGTTTTATTTCTGATTTGATTTTCTCCAAATTTTCATTCACTATAGGAAAATGTTTTTCTAGCAGCAAAACTTGATCTTCAATTTTTGTGTCAAACTCTTCATTTTGCGAGGATTTATCTATGAAGTTAAAATCATGTGCCCTAGAGAGAGCATCGGCTATGACTAATTTGGAACTTGGCTTGTATATCAATTCGATGTCATATGGTTGAATTTGAATGATCATGCGTTGAAGCCTCATAGGGCAAGAAATAAGTGGTTTTTTTATTATGGATGTTAACGGTTTATGGTCAGTTTCGACAGTAATTTTTCGCCCATAAATATATTGACGAAATTTTTGACAACCATAAACAATAGCCAGCATTTCTTTTTCTATTTGGGCGTAGTTTTGTTGTGTTTCAGTTAGAGCTTTTGAGGAATAGTACACCGGTAAATTGTTCTGTAGGAGTACT